GGGGCACTAGGGGCTCAGGGTGTAGGGAGAGGAGTATTAGGGGCTGTATGCCGGGAGGACTCCCCTGCTGTCCCTATTCCCGGAGGGGTCTGCCAGCCACGGAGTTGGGTCTTCCCACCCGGGGGGCTCTTACCGGCTGCCTCTGCAGGAGCAAAGGGGGCTGGGGGCTGATGAGCAGTTTCAACCTGGGGCATGAGCAGGAGAGGAAGGAACGCTGCACTACCTGCTCCATGGCACCAGCCAGAGCAGCAGCTGCCCCACACTGCCCGGCTCCGGCTTCCCACCTCCAACCTGGCCCGGGGGCGGGGAGAGGAGATGAGGGAGGACTCGGGGGAGGTGCCCCCAGGACTGCCTTGATCTTGCGCTGCAGTTTGGGGGGGAGGAGGCAATGCCCTCCATGTCCCCAACTCTGCCCACCATGGGCTCAGGGTTTCTGCTCCACAGGGAGCACCAGGGCTCGGGGATTCAGCCCCACGCCTCCTGGCTTCAGCCCGGTAGGGGTCACGGGCCATGAATCGGGGCTTCAGCCCTGCACCTCCCCCGGCTTCAGCCCAGCAGGGGGTGCCAGGGAGCGGGGCTTCAGCTGCGGGGCCCCGCAGCCCCCTTGAAAGGGCAGGGGGTCCGCAGACCCCTGCCCTAGATCCTCTTGGAGGAGATTCTTCACCTGGATCTCATTCCATCTTACAGAGGAAGGTTCATTAATGGGACCCTTTGAAGAGCTTCAGTAGGACTTGGTTCCACATTTGTGGAGGGGACTGATCAAGCACGGGGAGGCCTGCTGGGCTTGGAATGGGGAAGGATGCACATTAGTCCTCCTGCAGCAAAGCACTGAAGCAGATGCCGCACTTAAAGAATGTATTCAAAGTCAATGGGACTGCAAACGCTTGCTGAACCAGGGCCACTGTCTCTACATCAACCCCTGGGATTACCAGGAAAAGGGAACAGCCTGAAGTTTATGTGCTGTAGCTTGTTCATTTCCCACATGTCCTCTGTACTTTGGGTTATTCTCTCTTTCTAGGGAATTGATATTAACCTAAAAAAAAAAAACTAATCAAGAAAAGCAATATCCTCTGAACACATTCCACCCACTTTGGTTTCAGAATAATTCTAAGGACACACACTCAGTCCTAAAGTTCTGCTCAGTATACTAGATGCTTAAACCCCACACTCACTAACTTCTACAATCTCATCTTGGGTAACACACAGGTCAATTAAGTGGTCATTTATGAAAGATGGATCTAAGTTATCCGGATACCGCCGACAAATAGCTTGTTCTCTAATCAACTTGGATTTTAAGGTTTAAATATCCAAGTAAAAGGGTATACATAATTGTTACAGTCTCATCTCGCTGAAGACAGAGCTGTTAGGTGAAGAGAAAACTTCAGAAGAGTACCCAGAACATTCAGCAAAATGGAAGGACACAAACAAATTGAAGCATTCATGCTTTCAGCTCATCAGAGGCAACATACAAAGCTATTCTACGAGGATTGCATCAACATTTTCTGGAGCAAGATCAGACTCCAATGCACATGATGAATCTAGGTGATCTTGAGAGAGCCTGGAACTTTTTACTGTACAATCAGACCAACTGTCACAATAAGGATGAAACCTGTGGGCTACTGGGTTACCAAACCTTTGGCATCGGTTGTATTTGTATTGTTTCCCTTTGTGTGTGTACATGTGTTCCAGCAACTGGCTCTTTCGGAGAAATTTGTGGCCACAGACTGTGCAACTGATTTTTCTCTTTCTTGAAAAAGAGAAGTTGCAGTTTAACTCCACAGGCTCAGTGTCTTTGGAGATTAGCGACAACTGGCCATACTGTAACGGCTCTGTGTTACTATGGCTTGGATGTTCTGACGGATGCTCATTCTCTTTCAGTAGGAAGGCACCGAGCCGGTGACTTTCAATAGCTTCCCCCTTTTCAGTAATAGGCTGCACTTCACCAAGGTCATTGCTCTCCAGGATGGAGGCTGGGACGCCAAAGGGAAGTGAGCCAGAGACGTGAGTGTGCAGGTGTTCCCGTAAATTGCCACGGGAATCAAAACGCTCCCCACAGTAATGACATAAATGCATTTTGAGATTAGTTTTAGAAACATCTGGAGAGGGCGACGTGTGACTTTGGGATACCACTGGCTCGGGGTCACATTTCTCCTGCTTTATAGACACAGATGATTTCTGAAGCTCCTCCACTGGTTTGACAGCTGCTTGGGTGGAAGGATGGGTGATCTGTTGTTCGAGGGTACCATCATCTAGTCCAATGGCAAGTGAGAGCTGTAACTGTGGGTGATCGCCCTGGTTAGCAGACCTGTTGCTGGCATTTGTCAGATTTTCTTTTGCTCCAAGACCTTCCTTTGTTGCTTTGTGTGCAGTTGAGATCTGAATTCCATATAAGTTTGAAGACTGCATCGTCTCTGGGGAAAGTATCTGGTTCATTTTAATTGCAATATGGGAAAGGTAGTCTGCATGGAGAAATCGAATGCCCTCCTCCAGCCGGCTGGGGTTGACTGTCTGCTTTGGACCTTTTCCAGTGTACATGATGTGCAACAAGTAGCTGAATATGTCTGGTTGGATATCTGTAGGCTGAATCTTTATGCATTCACTGTTTAAAACAAAACATATGATTAAATATATCTGTTTCTCCAAATGATAATCCTGGCCATTATTTAAGCATTCATGTGGCCCATCATTTACTTTGAGAGAACACACATTAGTTACCTTTCCCAGATTCAGAATAAATCTGACACATGCACAAAGAGAAGGACATGGGCATAATTTACATGTGCAATTATAGTGACTGCGTGCATAACTGTATTAACTGGGCACGAATGTGACCAGTTAGCCATACACTCACTCATTTGTATATGCAGTGTAACTTTGCATGCCACTGCAGTAATTGTTTGCAAATTATGAATTCACATATTGTGTGTGATTCTGAAAATCTGGATCTAAGTCTATTGCTATATATTTAAATAATAATTCATTATTAAATTCAATAATTAAATAATAAATTCAACGAGGTGGACTGATTTAAATCAAAGTGATTTAAACCATCAATCTTAATCATGATTTAAATTAGCAAGGAGGAAACTTTGATGTAAATCATCAATTTTAAACATGTTTTGCATTTGCACTTTTTAGCTATTTTCCTAAAGGAAGGTTGATTCTCATTGCTTGGCAACCATTAAAACATGTTGATTTGCAACTAAATATAGCCTTTTCACTAAGTGTCGTCATTTTTTTTTTTTATAACCAGGAGGATACACTATATCTATACACATTTATTTAAGCAATTAGATAGATTAACTTGCATTTATTCAGCTTTTTGATTATTACATTTATTATGTTAGAACATGGTGAATGATGCATTTCCTATTTACTAGATGATTACTTGTGATTTGTGTCAAGCTCTATTTGGATGGATATTCAAATTCAATTAAAAATGCACATAAACAGCATTTTAAAAATGTAATTAAATACAACTACTTTAAATGTGCTGGATACATAAGAAAAAAATGCATTAAAATTAGCAAAACATATTTTATATTAAAAACTAGCCAATTTATTAAACAAAGGAAGAAATTTCTGTAGTTAGTGACTTGAACTGATTGTTTCTGGTCACCATGTCCTTCAAATTTTAGAACAAGTAGATCTCATCCTTAAACACCTAGTTTTTATTCATAGTTTAGAAAATGAAGACGGTTTTCCTGTTTTTCTTAACTTTGAATTGAACTAGTCATTGAACTGAGTAAGTTGAATAAACTGAAATGAAGAAAATATTCTCTCTGCACCTGCAGAGGAGGCTTCTGCTGTCAAAAGCTAGTTTAGCACTTCAGCAAACTCTGGATCCAGATGCTTAGAGAGTGACTTCTACCAGTTCAGTGGTTTGACTTTAAAACATGGCAGCAAATATGTACTGCTTAATATTTTTTTACTGCATTTAATTGGCCTTAATAGATTATAGTAAGTTAAGCATTAAAATAGGTTGTCATAAATTCAAAACTAATTTCACATAGGTTTCTTTTAAAATAAACCTGTGTTTAGTTTAAATAATATATATATATATATATATTGTTAAAACTCATTGATTTTTATCCACTCTGCATTACAATAGGTATATATTTTATCAGCTTTATGTCCCAATGTCATTAAATGGCATTGATTATAATGAACACTCAGCACTAATCTCTCACTCTCAGCCATCAAAGCACTTTCCAATTTCCAAATTTTAATCAAAGAGACTTCAACATCGCTGAAGGAGTAATTGCAGATAGGAAAGTGAGCACACAGACAGAGACCAAATCTGTAGACAGCAACTCCATGTCAGAGGCAGGATTAGAACTCAGGAGCTATCCCGTGTAACTATAAAATCTGACCACTTTGTACCCAACTGCGGTTCAGCATCTGAATGTCACCATGAGGTGACTGATATACAAGGCTCTACGACACTTGAAATGAATTGATGGTCTCAGTGCAGTCTGTTAACTCTAAGTGTCTGCAGCACAATATTGCACTGTCACCCTTGCTAGTAGTTGCAACAGCAAGGACATGAACTGAGTGAGTTTGGAAACTGGACTACACTGGTCTCCCCAGAGCCATTTGGTGACGGAGTGTGGGAGGAAGCTTGTCCAGCCACCAGGCATGCTCTGTGTACTCTGTAGATAAATACAAAGTTAGTTCCCAGGCCTTATCGGTCAACAGTAAACACGAACTCTGAACTCAATTTTCTTTTTAAAACTTCAACGTTGGTCCAAATGGTAAGCCAAAGTATTGTATTTATTTCTATGTACACACAACTTCAGTGAAAAATTCTAGGCATTTGCCGCTTAAGAAAGCTGTGATACTTCTTCAACTTTTGTTTCTCTGTTCATCCCTCTTTAAATGTGCAGCAATGCCAGATGTTGGACCTGAACTTTGGCTTATGCTGATTAAACAAGTAAGATCAAAAGGACTTTCTGACACTACATTCTAGGCTGGAAATGAACTGGTTTTAGAAGGTTACAACTCCATAATTGTTTTATGTAACCAACCCCAAGTCATCTAATCCCTTGCTAAAGTTCCTTCAGAATTTAATTCCCTTTGAAGAATAAATTTTAAAAGTTGCCTTAAATGCAGAAAAAGATGTATGTTCTTACCTTGTCTGGTGAATAAATATCATCTTAAAGTAGTTTGAAAAAGCAGCTAGCACTGCTCTGTGGGCCTTGAAGTAAACATCTCCTATTGCAACTGTACAGTCACAGAGAAAACCAAACTCACGCTGCATGTTCAACTGCTGCAGGAGGACTAGACTGTGACTAGCTGTATCCATGGCGTTTCTAAAGGCAAAAGAGGACAAAATTTGAGTTCTTGGTGAAGTGAAGATAATTGTAAGTAGTATCAAAGACCAGTTTATTTCACTAAGGAAGTTATAAAGGCGCATAGTGTGGAGGTCATACAAAAGCTAACGAGGTTCTCTGACAGTGCAGTATGTTAACATCTGCCAGGTGGTATGTACACCACAATTTAGTAACTTCTCCCACTGATATCATTAGGAATGCCCCAAACACAGTCTACTGAAATTGAAAAATGATCCTCTATTTTCCTTTGTGCTGGGTAGAAACTCCAGATTTTTTTGTTAAAAAGAACATGTTTCATCTAAACAGTCTGAAGTTACCAAACCTTAATGTCAAATGGACTCTGCTTGACTTCTGACCTTTCCCCCAGAACTGAAACTACTATAGAATAAGAAAACCATTTATCCAAGTCAGTGACCTCTATTCACTGAAGGTCTAATGCTGCATTCTCTGTGGAACCAAAACTTCCACTAAGAGTATGTCTACACTACAATGTAAGCCTGGGCTCAGACTCAGGTTTAAGCACAAACCCCCATCTGTCCACACACAAATCTGGCTGACTCCAGGCCAGTGAGCCTTCAGTACCCAGGTCCTGGCTGGGGGGCAGGGTCCCACTGCGAGTCGGGTCCAAACTTTATCATTTTTCAGTGTGGACGCAGCTCCGGGCCAGGTCTCCAGACTTGTGCTCTGAGAGTCCGACAAACAGTACCTCACAATCCCCTGGGCCAGTGTTTCTTGCCTTTCTATCCCAAGATTAGCCAATCAACTCCCAGGAAACAAACGCAACCTCCCTCCCCACCTTCACATACAGCTGCTCAGTGTTTAACCCTTCCATTTCATTCTGAACTGAACAGAGTTAACTGTCCCCTCCCTGCATTAGTTATGACCAGTGAGAAGAAGTGGTCCTTTGCTGAGCACAATGGTCATGGGACCATAGTCAGATTCTGGTAAATCTCTCATTTGAGACAAACAAGACATTTGATTTCTGGAAGAGTACCAGAAATGACCATGTGTACCATGAAATATTGGATAAGTCAGCTGTGTTGGGGATTCAATGGATCGAAGCAGAGGGGTGGATCTCATGGCTCAAGACAGACTATTGGAAAACCAGGGATGAGAACTGCACTTCTAGGAACTTCCCGTCATCCTGCCTTTTACAAGGAATTTGACCAGATGCTGGGAATTGCACTGAGCCCACAGCGGTTCACAATAGCCTGATGAATGGGGATGGCGACCTTCTAACCCCCCGAATCTAAGGGCTTGTCTACATTTTAAACACAGCAGAGGTACGGCTGCAGCTGTGCCACATCAGTGAAGATGCTGTCTACACTCACAGGAGAGGTTCTCCTATTGGAATTGGTAATCCACCTCCCCGAGAGGCGGTAGCTAGGTCGACAGGAGAATTCTCCTGTTAACCTTGCGCTGTCTACAACGGGGGCTAAGTCAGTTTAACTGCCTCACTCTGGGGTGTGGATTTTTCACACCCCTGAGTGAGGTAGTTATACCAACATAATTTCCTAGTGTAGACCAGGCCTAAAATAGTATGGGAGGGGAGCTAGCAGCTGCTGGATCAAGCTCATGAAGTGACTCTGATGCTCACGCCAGTCCCCAAGGAAGCTTTGCTGCCAGAGCAGCCACAACATGGCCAGGGTCCATACTCTGAGGAACTGTTTGATATCGCCTGGGGGAAGCAGCCTGCAGCAGAAATAGTAGCAGAAATAGAAGTAGTGACGAAGCTTGGTAAGTTTCGGTCTCCAGGTTTGTTATTAACATACCAATGGGAGAGATGTCCAGCTTATGACCCAAGGAAATTTGGGGATTGGTCCTGCTTTGAGCAGGGGGTTGGACTAGATGACCTCCTGAGGTCCCTTCCAACCCTGATATTCTATGATTCTATGAAATTATTGTTACAAGGTGCAGATAGCAGCGTGTATCAGCTAATGGTGGAATGCACGCCAGCACCATGGTGAGTCCCACCCCGACCACCACGCGGAATTCAGAACGGATACCGGGAAGTGCAAACAACAGCAAAACAAGCAGTTGTGAAAACATTTTTACTAGATCTTCAGAAGTTGTTAGAAAGACCCTTACATTGCCTTCTCTGACAGTACACCACATCATACAAATCAGCCATGCCAGAGCGGACCAAGCCGCCTGTAAACTGTACCAAGGGTGCAGGGGAAATGTAGTCCATGGGTGACAAATTATCTCTCTGAAATACACCAGGGGGTTGTATGTAGTCCAGAAATGTGTCACAGATGGGGGGATGGGTGCTTTATAATTCTTCGTTACAGAAGTATGCTGGGGGGGGGGGGGGGATTTAGGCACTGCATTCCTAATATGAGTCCAGGGAGTCCCTGTTGTGTGTAGACACCTATGGAAATCTGTTTGTAAACCCACTGGAGGTAGCCGGCATAGGAGTAACTATCAAATTCACTGTGATCACCGCCGTAGGAAAGTGCTGGGGGAGGAGAGAACAAACAGGACCTGGCCCCCACTACTTTAACTATCTTGCTGAGTCTGACGTTCCCTTTGACATGACCGGAGACGCTATTACGTGTCTACACTACAGTGAGCGCCTAGCACAATAGGGCCCCCCCTGGTCCATGCCTCGGGATTCTGCACGTTACACCCATACACATTATTATTAATACTAAATAATAATAATAATACTGCACTGCCAGACCTAGTTCCTCCTTGCCTCGTTTTACACGTGTCTGCACATCTCGGCAGCTGGCGGCCCAGTCTCACACGCACACAGCCCGTGGCGGCTTAATTTCAGACCGCAGCAGCGATCCCGCGAGTTTATTACGTTGCTGCCGCTCACAAGCGGCCACGGCCATGGTTCATACCGCCTGCAGTATAGCTCATGGGTCATATCATTCCCCCCGCCCCACTACCGACTCACGCACGAGCCATTGTCTTGCAAAGCCCCAGCGCGAAGCTCGGACGCGTCTTGCAGGCATGCGGGCAGCCCCGGCGGCGCCAAGCAGCCCCTGGGATGCACCAGGCAGGCGGGACTGGAGCCAGCCTCTGGGGATGCTGCTGCAGATGCACAGCAGAGGCCAAGAGGCGCTGCCGCCCGACCTCTCCAGGAGCACCGGAGCAGCCCCCATGTCCGGGAGAGGCAGCCCGAGCTGCAAGGATGAGCCAGGCAGGGGCCAGCCACAGCTCCGGGATGGCTGCTGAGCAGCGGCAGCAGCGAGGCCGGGCCCCGGGGAGGCGCTGCAGGGACGGAGAGCGGCAACGGGCAGCCCCTGCGGCGCGGGCGGGCGGGGCTCGCGGCTTACCGGGGGGAGGCTCCAGCCTGCGCAGCTGTTGGGCCGGGTAGGCGGCCGCGGCTCGCGCGTGCACCGGGCCCTGGCGCGCCTCTCATCTCGGCCACGCAGGGTGAATCCCACCCCCCGGGAGCGGAGGCTGCTGCAGCTGCAGCGTCCCCGTGCGGCTGGAAGGGCCCCTCTGCAGCCCCCCCCCCCCCCGCCCCCGAGCAGGGCGGCTCAGGCTGGGCTGGGGGCCCTGCCCCTGTGCGCGCACCGACCCCCTGGCGCACAGCGAACGGGGGCTGGCTCAGCGAGGGGCTCCCCTTGCCCCAAGCGCTCGTGGGGGGGCGGGGGTCATGGGTAGCTGGCCCCCTATACTGCGGGGAGGGGGCAGTGCAATGGCTTGAGCAGCACCAACAGGGAGCCAAATCTGCCGAGCTCTATGGGGCAGGCAGGCCCGGCCTCCCCCGGCCGGTGCCCCGGAGCAGCAAGCGCTGAGCTGCCCCGTGGGGTGGGCCTAGGCCTTTGCAGGGGGTGCTGCTCCCTGCTGCACAGACACCCCGCCTTAGTTCGCTGCACAGGCGTTTCCTTGCGCTGCTGGTCTTGGTAAGGAGTAAAAAACTTGTTAAAGGGACATTTACAGTCTGAGAGCATCATGGGCCTGGGCCTTGGGGTGTATCTTAAACCCCTGAGGGGAGCCAGACAGAGCCCAGCGCTGCAAAAGTGCGTGGGCACAATGTAGTGTGAGCAAGCAGGAGCTGATTATCCTATGCAGAGACCAGGCGGTTTGACCCTAGCCTATCAGGATCCTAGAACTGTGTGCTCCCTCATTCCCCCTTTCTCCACCATGACAAGAGCTCCATCCCCTGTCATTAATCCCCAAAGCCACATGCCCTGGGGTGTGTGTCCTCATATCCCCCTTCCATAGCATTATTTCCTATTCTCCCCACCTCCATTCCCCTCATGCCAGGAACTAATGTGTGCCCCTTTTTCCCTATCATGCAGGGGCTCATTGTATCCCCCATGCCCTCTTCGATAGGTTCTTGAAGCTGCTGGGTGTGTTTGACGTTCCCCTGGTGTTATCTGGACCGGTGATCTGCTAGGTCACTCCAATCCTCAACTCTGGGAGCCAGGCTTACCCTGCTGTGCTGTGAGAACCCGCACTCCCAGGCTGTTCACACACAGCCTCTGGCATGTAAGCTGCTCCTTGGATTGTGCAACCAAATGACGCTAGCCAATATCTCTGGTTCCAGACACAACCCTAGGAACCTCCGTTTTGCAGTGTCTAGTTATGCCCACTGGACGCTGCAAACTTATATGTGTTAGTCAATTTAACAAATAAATTGATATGTACCAGGCTTGTTATCCCAAGGGGAGAGCCTGACATGCTTCAAAACAAACGCACTGCTTCCAGTAGAATGAACAAACAAATTTATTAACAATGAAACATAGATTTTAAGTGATTATAACTCAGAGCATAACAAGTGGGATTTGGTCAAATGAAATAAAAGCAAAACGCATTCTAAGTTGATCTTAACATTTTCAGTGCTCTTACAAACTTAGATGCTTCTCACCACAGGCAGCACCAGGCTCTCCCCTTTGATCAGTGCTTCAGTCGCTTGGTGGTGATGTCTGTAGATGAAGGTGGAAGAAAGAGGAAGAGCATGGCAAACATCTCTCCCTTTTATCATGTTCTTTCTACCCTCTTGGCTTTGCCTCCGCTCTCATTCAGGGTCAGGTGAGCGTTACCTCATTGTAGTCCCAAACTGACCAAAGGAAGGGGGGTGACTCACTTGAGAGCCCAACAGATCCTTTGTTGCTGCCTAGGCCAGTGTCCTTTGTTCCTGTGAGGCTGGGCTGGGTTTGTCCCATACATGCCCTGATGAGGTGTGAACTGTCCCTCTGATCTGGAGAGTTTTTGCCTGGTTTTGTTTTAAGCCACAAGGACACATTTTCAGCCTCATAACTACCCTGTTTCCCCGAAAATAAGACATCCCCCGAAAATAAGACCTACTTCCAGTTTTGCCTCTCGCTGTAATATAAGACATCCCCCGAAAATAAGACCTCCCCGATAATAAGGCCACCCCGGAATATAAGGCCCCGAAGCTCCAGGAAAAATAAGACCTCCCCTGAAAATAAGACCTAGCGCATCTTTGGGAGCAAAAATTAATATAAGACACTGTCTTATTTTCGGGGAAACACGGTATATACATGAAATTACAACCTATAACATTACTATAACAACAATGCTCAGTGCATCATGAGCCTTCCGAAGACACCCGACATGACAAACTTTGCATTGGATACCACACAATCATAAGGATGAACATGGGGGTGCTGGGTGTTCCTTCGAGGTACAGAACGTCACACCTCCCTCCTTAGTTTTCTGCAAGAGGATTAGTCACTGACTATCTCAAAGGCAGTTTGTGTTATAGTTCTCTTGGCATCCAACCATTAAAGCCATGAGGCGGTGTGCCTCAGTTCCCCCATTCACACACAGCAAACCAGGTTTCTCTGCTGTGATAAGCTTTAAACCTGTTTACAGGTATTAATTGAAAAGTAGTATTATCATAAGGTTTAACATCCATGTCAAAATTCTTATCCCCAAAACTTAACATTAATACCAACATTTTTATCTCAGATGTGTGTTTACAAGTATCTTTATGATACCACACCCTCTGTTCAGATATTCTAGTTTGAGGTTAGTTTGTTCATTACCCATGTAATCAGACACTGGCTTTTCTTTCCCTCCAGTGTTCCCCACTGTGTGGGCTCTTAATTTAATCATGTTTCTAGCACTTTGGTGCCTCAGGGTCTAGCAAGATAGGTGTTCAGGGGGATCCTGCACATTGGCTGGCCCTTTGGGGAGCGGTCTCCCAACCCCAGGACTGTACATATGCAGAAAATCCAGCTCCCCTTTTGGGGTTACCCTGTGTTTCCCCCTCCCAGCACTGAGTCCTTCCCTGCCCCCTAGAGGGCTGTGATTTATGCTCTCTGGGCTGAGTGTGTTTACCCTTTAATCAGATGCACCTTTTCCCAGCAGTTTTCCCATAACTGCTTTCTGGGTCTCACCAGCCTGGGGGAAGACACCCCCTTCTCTGTCAGTTGAGTCATTTGTATTCTGGCAAACTACCACCTGGCAATTTCCTGGTCCCAACTCGTCCGTTATCACAGGCATTGGAGTTGCATCTTGATTTAAAGAGAGAAAGTTACCCGCCAAAAATTTATCAGAAATAGCATTCTGACAAACTGGGACCTGGATTGGGGTACCCTCTGCCACCCCTTTCTCTGCCCCTGAGAAGTCAGCTGTGTGACTGCTCCCCTCCGGGAGGTCAGTTACACAGTTCCTTCTCAAAACCTGGGTCACAGGCTGAGTGCCTGGGCGCACAGATGCTGACCCAGCCATCCTAGTGTCCTGGGCATCCTGCCCCAAGTGACTAGTGAGGAGACATTCCTGTACCCCCACTATTCCTTCTCCAATTTGCTCCTCTGGGCCCCCTCCCAAGACACATTTCTCTTTGCTCCTTAGGAAGGATTCTAGCTGTTCTTCAGCTACAAAACTTTGCCAGCTAACAACTGGAACAGTTTCCTTAATCACCGACACCTCTCCTGCCCCTGCGGGCATGTTGCCTTCTGCTGGAAAGGAGCTAGTCTCAGCCCCTCCCATACTTGGAAGCACCCTGCTTCCCTGTGTTACAGAGTCACAGGAATCCTCACCCACCTCAGTGGTTTCCGAGATCCCCTGACCCTTCTCTGGGACACGTTGCTCTATGCTCCCTAGAGCCGGTTTTGCCTCTGGTTCAGCTGCAACCTGCTGGCAGCTAACAACCTCAATAGTTCTCTCCCTGGTAGGCATTACACCCCCATCCTTTCCTGATGTGGTGTTGCCTCCAGCTGTAGTGCAGGAGCTGGTCTCAACCGATCTCCCACCTGGAAGCATGTGGCTTCCCCCTGCTGCAGAAGAATGAAGGAGACTCTCTCCCATTCTCTCAGCAATTCCTGAGACCTGCCCCTTTCCCTCGGGGGTCCCAGCATAAAATTCCCTCCTGCTCATAGGTGCCAAATTCCCTGCTTTCCCCTGGGTGCTCGACCCCCCCCGCCCCCACTTCACCCCTTGCATGCGGCCCCACCCCTGCCCTGCCTCTTCCCATCCCCATTCCAATCCCTTCCCCAAAGTCCCCACCCCAACTCCGCCTTCTCGTCCCTATTCCAACTCCTTCCCCAAATCCCCGCCCCTTCCCCTGAGCCTGCCACATTCCCGCTCCTCCCTGTCCCTCCCTCCCAGTACGCTGCCAAACCGGGGGAAGCGCTGGGAGGTAGGCGGAGGAGCGGGGACGTGGCGCGCTCAGGAAGGGGGGGGTGAGGAGAGCTTGGCTGCCAGTGGGTGCAGAGCACCCACTAATTTTTCCCCATGGGTGCTCCAGCCCCAGAGCACCCACGAAGTTGGCACCTATGCTCATGCTGTGGGCAAATACTTTAACCTAAGCTACATGGAAAAAATTATTACCAAGGAGCAGGTCGACTAGGAGATGTTCCATTACCCCCCCCCAGTCAAAACACTTTCCAAACCTTCCCACACCACATGGATTTTAGCTAGTGGTACGAGGAATCTACTTTTGCCCACCCCCATAGGCTCAGCCATTTGGCCAGGTAGCATACTGGCCTTTGGGACCACACTCTGCTTAACCAGAGAGATCCCTCTGCCCCAAGTACTCCCTGCCATTAATTTGGACAGCCTTAACATGCTCCATATCTGGTTCTGCAGAGGCTAACCTCACAAAACCAATATGATAGGTTTCAATTGCTTGGGGGGTGTTCTGTGTTGAGGACAGCAGAACTAACATGAGCTATTGGTTGCTGGCTTTCTCCTAGCACAGGGCATTTATTCTTCAGCTGATCAGTGGAATTACACTGATCGCACCTTTTGGGCTCTTCTGCTTTTTACAGGTGATTTGGGATGAGGTTTAGAGGAATGTTTTTGGGTAAGAGAATGTTTAGGCTCCCAACCCCCTTCTCTCTTCCCAGGGGCAAAATGGGATTCTCCTTTCCCACCAGTTTTAAACCCCTCTTTCTGTGGCCTGCCCTCAATAGACGCCTGAATCTGTTCAAAGGCATC